TATATATATCCTGTGTGATACTATACGTGTGCTCAACAAATAAAAACAACACCCCTTCGAGAGTTCAAGGCTAGCCTGGTCTACAGAGTAAGTTCCAGGACAGCCAGGGCTACACAGAGAAACCCTGTCTCGAAAAACCAACCAACCGGGAGGCAAGAGCAGAGGCCGAACTCGGGATCTGACAAGATGGCCGGGCTGCCCCACAGGATCATCAAAGGAAACCCAGCGTTTGCTGGCAGAACCTGTTCCTGGCATTAAAGCAGAACCAGATGAGAGCAGCGCTCGTTATTTTCATGTGGTCATTGCTGGCCCCCAGGATTCCCCCTTTGAGGGAGGGACTTTTAAACTTGAACTATTCCTTCCAGAAGAATATCCAATGGCAGCACCTAAAGTACGTTTCATGACCAAAATTTGTCATCCTAATGTAGACAAGTTGGGAAGAATATGTTTAGCTATTTTGAAAGTCCCCAGCACTGCAGATCTGCACAGTTCTGCTATCCATCCAGGCTTTGTTAAGTGCTCCTAATCCAGATGATCCATTAGCAAATGATGTAGCCGAGCAGTGGAAGACCAACGAAGTCCAAACCATAGAGACAGCGAGAGCACAGGCTAGGCTGTATGCCATGAACAATATTTAAGTCGATCAGATCATCAAGTGTACGTCACTTCTCCTGTTGTGCCAAGACTTCTTCCTTTTTTTGTTTGCATTTAATGGACACAGTCTTAGAAACATTTCAGAATAAAAGCCCAGGCATCTTCATCTTTGGTGACTACATGCACATTAGCAAATCTGTCTTGTCCCAATTCACTGTTGTAAAGCATGAGCAGAGGCTAGAAGTTATCATCCGGGTTGCTGAGAGATGTTGAGAAGCAGGACTCTCTGCTTTGACTTCTTCCCCATCATGGTTAAAGTACAAGACACTGTGAATGAAGGTAGTTGTCAGGGTTAGCTGCCAGGGGTATGGGTGTTTTTATTTTATTTTTTAGGGGGAATATAGTTTAATTTTATGGCCTCCTTTCCCCTCCTCCCTCTTAAGGATCTAATTGCAGTGGTTAAATGCAGCTAACCAGTTTTTTAGAATACGCTCTCTAGCCAAGTCTAACTTTAGATGCTGTAGATGGACAAGCTTGATTGTCTGAACCAAAATGGGAACATGAAATAAACATTGCAGCCCTCACTAATAACATTGTGACTTTGCTGTCAAGTGTAGAGTCTCCGTCCCCCACCCCCACCCCGCCCTCAGAAGACAAAGAAAAAAGCTTGTGACCATTTTGTATGGCTTGTCTGGAAACTTCTGTAAATCTTATGTTTCAGTAAAATATTTTTTGTTATTCTAAAAAAAAAAAAACAACCAAACAAACAAAACAAAACAAACAAACAAACAAAAAAAACAACCACCCCGAGAGATGTAGGGAGCTCGTGTGTTTGTAGGGAGCTCGTGTGTTTGTAGGAGCTCGTGGTGTGTTTGTAGGAGCTCGTGTGTTTGTAGGGAGCTCGTGTGTTTGTAGGAGCTCGCGTGTTTGTAGGAGCTCGCGTGTTTGTAGGGAGCTCGTGTGTTTGTAGGAGCTCGTGTGTTTGTAGGAGCTCGTGTGTTTGTAGGGAGCTCATGGTGTGTTTGTAGGAGCTCGCGTGTTTGTAGGAGCTCGCGTGTTTGTAGGGAGCTCGTGGTGTGTTTGTAGGAGCTCGTGGTGTGTTTGTAGGGAGCATGTGTGTTTGTAGGAGCTCGCGTGTTTGTAGGAGCTCGCGTGTTTGTAGGGAGCTCGTGGTGTGTTTGTAGGAGCTCGCGTGTTTGTAGGGTGCTAGAAGATCTGACATGCTAATGCGAGGTAGGAGCTTGGGTTGAATCTGGGATCAGGAAAAAATTGGTTTAAAGGATCTTATTGGGACATTGTGAAAATCTTAATCAGGAAGATAAGGCACCAGGCTTGTGTTAGTATCAAGCTCTCTGATTTTGACACGTTTGTTCTGGTTAAATGTCCTGGAGAAATGTCTGTGGGGAGGTAAACAACCTGTTGCTTACAACTCATTATAGGTGGGCCAGAAAGAGTTATTTTTATACACAGAGCTAGAACAACAAGCAAACGTGGCAGAAGGGAGGTGGTTAGTAAGTCTGGGTGGGGTGGCACATCCACACAGCCTTTTTTATGAATTTTGTGTTTTATAATAGATCTTCTCTGAGTGGAATCCCTGAGTCATGTTCTGGATGTGTGGTTCTCCTCCACAGTGCTGAATTGTTTCCCGGTACAGTCATGCTAATTATTCCTGCTGGTTTGAGCACTAGGTATTAGAGCACTAGGTATTAGCCTTTGGTGGCAGAGTTGACCCCTCTCTGGGTACAGTGAGGCTGAGCATCTTTCAGAGTATTGAGTCAAAGGCTACATTCTTCCTGTTTCTCAGCCCTTTCTCTTACCGAGCTTTGAGTAAGCTCATTTTTCTGCTGATTTTATTTTGTACACCTTAGTATATTCTACAAATTCATTCTTTGTTGATTTTGTGCCATCATGGCTGTCCACATACTTTTGAAAGATGCTTAACTAAAGATATAGGATTGTGTTACATTTCACTGGAGTTGGCAGGGAACAAACTAGGTCCTGTGGCAGAGAAAATATTGCAGATCGGGCATGTGGTCTGGGGTGTTTGGCAGAGCTCTTTCTCCTTTAGCTCAGTTACATAATCAACTCGAAGTTGCGTAGCTCATTTTTGGCCTTTCTGAGAAAGGATATTTTAGGAGGTGTATCTACTGCCTCTGGTGTATTTCATTCAGAGATTTACTGAATAGGCTTGTACTCTCTTCCCCTTGTAGCTGTTTAAGAAATCTGTACATTGCTAAATAATGAAACTGTTACAGTGCCAAGGGTTGGCCAGTACTTGGATAGAGGACTCTGCCTGAGTGGCATCGCTCCAGAGCGCATGGGGCAGGAGGGTGACTTGGTGGGGACACTGCCTTGGTGACTTGGTGGGGACACTGCCTTGGTGACTCAGCAGGGACACTGCCTTGGGCCATCCACTGGCATCAACTAAAAGCAAGAAAGATTTAACCTACCTTTAAAAAAAGATAACTCAATATGAATTCAAGAATTTGCTTTATTGTTCTAATTATTTTGATTAACTTTATTGTTATAATTAAGTTATTAGATAAAACAATTAGGCAGAGCCACATATATTTTCCTCTCTCTTTCCCTCTTTCCCTTCCTTCTTCCCTCCTTTCCTTCCCCTCCCCTCCTCTTCGATTTCAAAGTGTTAGCCCTGTAAGGGAACTAAAAATGTTATATAAAAGACCCCCACCATGGAGCTGGTGACTCTCTTAAACAGCCTGGCTTTCAATTTCAAGTCATTCTTGCTTCTTTTCCTACTGTGTTCAGTCAGAACCCAGAGAATCTGGGACTTAACTTGACTGGGACTATGTAGAAAGGACAGACACATGGACATCTTCCCTGATGGAGGGAAGCTTCTAGGCGGTAACAACAGGGAACCTCAGGGCAATGGTTATCTATACAGTGCAGGAAGGAGTTAGCTAGTCTTGGTCATGGGGCTCTATAGTCAGTCTCAGGTTGCTGTCCTCTGGGAGGGGAAAGTGGTTGCTGGTATTCACACACACTGGCCATCACTTGGGCAGAGAAAGGCTTCGCCATCCTCTGAGCATCACTCCAGGAAGGCTTCGACAGCATCTGCAGGTCTGCAGCATTGGCATCCTTGACATAGCTGTGGCTGTGTCAGCAATACACACACACTAAGGACTTCCTGGGCTCTGCACACTCCCCTCCCCCCCGCCCCCCAGTGCATCCTGCTGTTATTCCTTCAGAAAATCAAAAAGAAAAAGGGGAAAAAGAAAGATCTCAGTCTCCCCATTTCTGGTAAACTTGGCTTTGAAACTTCGATTATTTTCTTTATGGAAAATTATCTCAGTAGAGAAGAAAATCTAACGGCATTGCCCAAAGAGAACCATGTTTTCTTCCTTGTGTTTTTTCCTACATAAATATATTTTATTGCTTTAGATATGTTTAAGCGCTTGTCTTTTTTCCCTTGATACTAGAGTCTCACTAACAGTGGCATTGTACACCATTGTCTGAGTAGAGTGCTACAATGAATGTCTTTCCTACATCTCTTAGGAAACATCCTAAGAGTGGGATTACCAGTCCTCAGCAGAACTCTTTAGGCCTTTCCTGGCGAGTTGCTTTTAAAACCAGCTGCAAGTCATTCCATTTTACATAAGGGAGATATGAGAGTCTTGGTACCATTTCAATCTCTAGACTTTATCACTGACTCAAAAGTATCTATTTAACAAAGTATCGCCGGGCAGTGGTGGTGCACGCTTTTAATCCCAGCACTTGGGAGGCCGAGGCAGGCGGATTTCTGAGTTCGAGAGTTTGAGGCCAGCCTGGTCTACAGAGTGAGTTCCAGGACAGCCAGGGCTACTCAGAGAAACCTTGTCTCGAAAAACAAACAAACAAACAAAAAGTATCTATTAAAGTATCTATTCATTAACACAGTTACTCCTATCAGTCCAGGTGCGCTTTGCTTATTTTTCTGAAACAGCTTGTGATTTTGCTTTGAGACAGGATCTCAAGTAGCTCTGGCTGGCTTGGAATTCACTATATAGACCAGGCTAGCCTCAAGCCCATAGATAGAGAACTGTCTGCCTCTGTTTCTTAAGTGCCTGTATAAAAGGCATGCACGGCCCTACCTGGCTGTATTTTTCTTATTAAGTAACTTTAGGGAGTACCAAGGATTGAACTCAGGGCTTTATACATGCTAGGCCAGCATTCTATCACTGAACACATACCCTAGCCTCTTACTAAGTCATTTTTTGAAGTCACTTGGTAGAGGTTGTCTGAGGAGATGCCATGGCTTCATCTGTTCCCACTGTGACTGCTGCTCTAACACCCCCACATTCCTCACTAAGCTTGTTTTCTGTATTCTGTGCAGTTAACATTGCCCCTTTGGTCAAATGCTCTGTGCTTCTATGGCATTTTCTCATGTCCTGATGCTTTCTTTTAAGGTATTATCCAAAGAGATGAGTCACCCATGGAAAAAGGGCTCTCTGGTCTTCGAGGAAGGGACTTCGAGCTCTCTGATGTGTTTTATTTCTCCAAGAAGGGATTGGAAGCCATTGTGGAGGATGAAGTGACCCAGAGGTTCTCCTCCGAGGAGCTAGTATCATGGAATCTCCTCACAAGAACTAACATCAACTTTCAGTACATCAGTCCGAGGCTCACCATGGTGTGGGTGCTGGGCGTCCTCATACGCTATTGCCTCCTGCTACCTCTGAGGTAAGTCGCCTGCCTGCTTTGATGATGTATTCAGTCTAGAGTTCCTTCTCATCATGCGTTTAATGGCTGCTTAAGAGTACAGTGGAATGGATTCCACCTCTTGCCAGTTAGGAAACACCATCATATCCAGTGTGACCTGCAGCACTGTGTTAACTATCTATACCTTTTACATTGTTTTTTCTTCCAAATGAAGATGTGGATTCAAAACTCTGTATGTGTGTGTACATGTGTGCATGCATGGGGGGGTGGGGAGAGAGAGAGAGAGAGAGAGAGAGAGAGAGAGGGGGGGGGGGGGAGGGAATTGACATTTGGGAAGGAAATACTAGAAGCTTTCATTTGTTTTGTTTATTTGATGTCTTTTTTGAGACAGGCTGTCATGTAGCCCAGGATGGCCTTGAACTTGCTATGTAGCCAGAATGGTCTTGAACACCCAATTCTCTTGCCTTTGCCTCCCAAGTGCTATTTCTCCATGTAATATTTATTAGAACCTGCCATCTTTTTCTCTTCCCCTCAAAATGTATTCTAGAACAATTTATAGAATCGTGTCAGAACGGATGGATTTATTAACGCTTTTCATTGCTGCACCGTACACTGTAATGCTCTACAAGGTGCAGACTCACTGCCTACGAGCCTGCCTTCCATAGGCTAGAGTTCTACTATCCTGAGAATGTTTGCAATAGCTTTTCTTTTCTCTTTCAGGGTTACCCTGGCTTTCATTGGGATCAGCTTGCTGATTATTGGAACTACACTGGTTGGCCAGCTTCCAGACAGCAGGTGACCTGTCCCCTTCTATCCAGCCATAAGTAGGACTGTCTTCTTTCCCTAGCTGTGTCCACAAAACTAGAGTTTGTAGGTTTCTCATTAATTTTTTGGTCTAAAGTGACTTATAAGAATTCTTAATCTTCATAGCCTTTATTTGATTTTTCATCATACTTTGGTTCAAACTGGAAGTTTTTTTTTTTTTCAAAGGAGAAAATGAAGGGATAAAAGAAAGTGGAGTGAGCGACCCAGAGGGAGGGAGAGACCCCCAGCCACTGGCAGTCTGGAAGGCTGAGCCCAAAGAACCTCAGCTGCCCTTGGAGAGGACTTTCTTACAGTACAGCAGAGTGGAAGCTAGTTCCTACTAGAATTTTGTCTAATTCTCCAGGTACACTTTGGGCCTTTAATAGCAAATGAATCTATTGAGCCGTCAAACATCAAACCACAATTCAGTGTAGCAGAACACAGGATGCTGCCATGAAGGGCACACTGAATCTTTTTCTGTGTTTCTTAGGAGTACCGAGAACAAATAATAAAAATGATTTCTTTTTCCTTCAGCCTCAAAAACTGGCTGAGTGAACTGGTGCATCTGACCTGCTGCCGGATCTGTGTTCGGTCCCTGTCTGGCACCATCCATTACCATAACAAGTGAGTGTCTGGTCCATGGCTGCCCTCCTTCAGACAGATCAGCCAGGGGTGACAAGGGCTGGGAGGAGGTGGGGAGGCAGCACACGGGATCTGAGAACTTACTCTGTGTTCACCATTGCCTTTTGAGGTGTCTCAGACATAACAAAGCATTGTGCTTTCAGAAAGAATCTAGAAATTTACACTGAGTAGAGTTCATAGACAGCTGCGCTGAGTGGGGTATGTGGTTCTCTCATTGGTGATTCCTGGCATGTGGGCATTGATATCTTACTGGATCCATGAATAGTAGAAACTCTGAGTCTGGTTGCTAAGGATGGTTCTGTCTCTTTTGAAGACGCTGCTTCGGCAGCCCTGGAGTATGGCAAAGGCTGAAGGCTTGTCCATGCTTAGTCTCCCTGTTTCTAAAATTCTCTACCTGGTTCTTAAGATAAAAATACTTAATTCTATTCTTTTTACCCCAAGCAGAAAATACAAGTAGCTAGGCAAAGTCATCTGCTACATTAAAGTGATTATGATTGCTTTTGAATTATTTTTTTACCTTAATTCAATGTTATAAAGTAACAGTCATCATGATTCTCACTCTTTGAGATGAGAGTGCTGCATGGCCCTGGCTGTCTTGGAGCTCACGAGGTAGTACTTCCAGCTTGTGGGAAGCCTCTTACCCTGGCCTCCTAAGTGCTGAGATTGTAGACTCCAGTCACCCTGCCCGGCAGTACCATAACTGTGAAAGTTAAGCTCTGTCCACCCTGACTGAGTCTTTTTGTCTCATCTATATATGGGAGGGATTTTTTTTGTCATTTGGTTTAACCAGGTGTTTATCAACAAAGGGCTCTTTAAATTTTTTAAATTGGTTGAGTATGATGGCCAATTCAGTAATCTTAGCATCTGGGAGGCCCAGGCAAGAGAATCAGGTATTCAAGGCCAGTCCCAGCTACACAGCCTGTCTGAGGCCAGTCTGGGCTACAAGAGATCCTGTCTCAACAACATAATATCATACTAAGAGCCATCAACATAAATGGAAAGTAATTTGTAAGTAAAACATGAATTATACAGAGAATGCCATAGTCCCTCACCCAACTCCTCATACTACATGAGACCTGCATCCCATGTTTTCAAGATGATTTTAGGTGCGTATGTACCTTAAATAAGACAAGTCAGTGCATGCCGTTCTGTAAACTAGCAAGTGTTTTCTGAGGTGTAGTGCTTACCATTGTTTTAATTGCAGGCAGTACAGACCCCAGAAGGGAGGCATCTGTGTTGCCAATCACACCTCTCCCATCGATGTCTTAATCTTGGCAACGGACGGATGCTATGCCATGGTAAGAGCAGCTCATTGGTGTTTCACGTGTGTATGCTTGATGATTGTAAACTAGGAAGTCCGTCTCTTAATAGAAATTTGGCTGAGACATAACTGTGCAGGCTGGCCACGAGGAACAAACAATGCAGGGAAATTTGTGGGATACCTGAGGTGGAGGAGCACCTTACTGAAACTTAGGTCTCCTTTGGCAGAACGTTGTAAAGTTGATTTCATCTTGCTCTGCACATCCCAGCCAGTGTTTAATTATACTGTAAAAATTAAAGTCATCCTCTTCAGAGATTCCTGCCAGCCAATTAGTTTTCTCTTCAGAAAGATAAGTGCAATTCAAAAAGAACCTCTTTCTTTAGTGGGGATCTGGCGAGGAAGCCAGAGTGTTTGTGCCGCAGACACTCAGATTTGTCAAGAAAAAGGAAAAAGCTGAAAATTTCAACCACCACAGAGTCCACGGCAAAACCACATCCCCAAGTGCCTTTTACTGGGCATGAAGAGAAACCACGTTCTGCTGCTTCCCCTTTATCTTGTTTTCTGTGGCTCTAACAGTTTACTTTGGCATTTCCTCTGCTGGGCAAAGGAAATGCAGATGCAGACTCGGGCTCCCTTTTTTGCTTGATGGTCAAATGAGTTCCTGAGGTAGTGTGTGGAACAGGATGGCTGGATGCAGGTCCCTGGGTTTTCTTCCTAATCTCACAGGTGTGGGTTGGTCTATGAGGACCGTATGCCCAGTGGGTCAGTTTTCCAGGTTGACAGTGGTGGTGTGGGATGCTTTTCTGGGAGAGCCTTTGCAGGCTTTTATGTTAGGTGTGTGCTGTGAGTGGGACCGCCAGCATGTATACTGGCTTTCACTATTCATGGGTTGTGTCTTAGTAGGGTTTCCATTGCTGTGAACAGATACCATGACCAAGGCAACTCTCATAAGGACAACATTTTACTGGGGCTGGCTTATAGCTTCAGAGGTTCAGTCCATTATTATCAAGGCAGGAAAAAGGGCAGCATCCAGGCAGGCACAGTGTAGGAGGAGCTGAGCGTTCTACATCTTCATCTGAAGGCTGTTAGAAGACTGACTTCCAGGTAGCTAGGATGAGGGTCTTAAAGCCCACGCCCACAGTGACAAACTTACTCTAACAAGGCCACACTTCCTAATGGTGTCACTCCCTGGGTCAAGCATATACAAACCACCACAGTTTTTGTGATCAACAAGGTCTTTTAAAAAATTCCCACTTACTGGTACATGTTTGATATGCCTAAAATTGTTAGGTCAGTGGCTTCAGATGTGGCACAGTGGTAGAATACTTGCCCAGCACTCTTGAAGCACTGGGATCTATCCTCAGTAGTGTCAGAAAACAAAACAAAACCATCTGAAATAAATGTACAAGCTGGGCATGGTGGCATATTTTTAGACTCTTAGCACTCATGAGAGAGAGGCAGGAGGACAGCTGTAAGTTTGAATTTGAAGCCAGCCTGGAATATATATATTTATTCCAGGCCAGTTAGGGCTACACAGTAAAACCTTGACACACATACCTATTTCCCCATCAAAGTAAATAAGTAGGTGAAATAAAAATCTACAGAACACATAACTTTCAGAAAAGTGCATTTTAATACATCACTGATTTATGTAATTGAGTTGTTTTGAACCCAAGAGATTTTTTTTTTTTGTCATCTTCAAGAAAAGAGATGGGAATTGGTTGTTTGTCCTTCTATAGATTAGGAATCAAATGATAGTTATATACTTTGAAAAAAACTGTAAAACAATATACCTATGTGTCATAAAAACACAGTTGTGTATATAATTTCAGTATTTAGGCATCCCCTGTCGCCCTCCCACAGTAGCCACCCAGGGTAGCCATCGGGAGAGCCTCAGTACAGGCCAGGACACATTCTATCAACCTTTGATACATGTGGGCCGGTTCTTCCCATCCACTGTATTTGATTTTCTCTATGACACAGTTAAGTCAGGCCTGAGATTTCATTCAGATGGGAGGCAGACACCTAAGCAGCTGATCCATCTTGTGCTGAAACTGCAGATGGGGTCATTTGTAAGAACCAGAATTTATTGGCTCACTGCAGGCTGAAGAGTCTAATGTCAAGACCTCTAGTGAGGATCTGACTGTCATGTCTTTATATGTCAGAAGGACTGGAATTACAAGAGGAAGGTCTGCTCCCAAGAGCCCTCTCTCTTTGTAAAGATATTTATTTACATTTTATGTGTGTGGACGTCTTGACTGTATGTGTGTCTGTGTGTCATGTGCTTGCAATTCCCTAGGAGGCCAGAAGAAGGCTATAGTGAAGATTCTGGATTTTTGGTTTCTTTAAAAACCACAGAAATACTATAAGAATGCTTTCTTTTTAATCAGAGGTGTGGGGGTCAGCTTTGCAGCAGCTGACTATGATTTGTCTCGTGTTCTAGCAGAGGTGTGGATTTGCCAGCTGCAGATAGTTTCTGTGGTTGTGTGAAATTTGGGATTCTGAGAATTTTCAGAGGGTCTATAAATGCTAGATCCCTGAGAGGCAGGGTGGGTGAGTTGGTTGTAGTTTGCACGAAGAAGAAAGACATTAGATTCACAGATCTCTCTCTCCCCCCCTCTCTTTCCTCCTTTCTCTCCTACCTAGTGTTAAGGGGTGAAATGTGGGGTAGGGTGGGCTTAAGGGTGGGAAAAAGTGGCAAAAGCTAGCAACAGAAGGCATTGGATTTTCTATAACTAGACAGCAGTCCTCTGTCCTCTAGGTCCTCTGCAAGACCAGCGAGTGCTCTCAACTGCTGAGCCGCCTCTCTAGCTTCAGCCAGAGTTCATGGTGCCTTTGATTTGCTCATTTGAGCACAGCTGTTGTCATCCACCCTTCACATTAGGTTCTTTCCCCAACACTCTTGTACTGGGAACTGAGTTTCTGGTACATGAGTTCCAGAGGACACATTCAAACCATAGCAACTGGTTACTTAGGATTTATTTCTGAGACCACACCCCATTTCTTCTGTTCTCTGGCCAACAAAGAATTGATTATAATATACTTGAAACTGAAGACCTCAGACTGTTGTTGGTCTCTTCCTTTGTTGGTTCCCAAGGTTGTACTCAATTATTTCTTCTTGAAAGGCTCAAAAGGGCAGATGTATTAGTTTTCGTCTAGACAACATGCTTACCTGTTCTTTTGTCTTTGTTGTTTAACACTGTGTTCTGGAAGTTTGCACTCCATTTTTGTCCTAGGGGTCAGCTTTGTCCTCTGGTCAGCTGCACAATATTCTGTTGTAAGTATGTATGCAGACACACACACATACATGTGCACACATATAAACACATTCATGTGCACACACATACATACACACACTACTATTGTCATCAACACTATTGTTTACCCATTTGTTTTTATCATTTAGACACTTAGGCAGTTTTCAATATTTTGCAATAATAAACAGTATTTTATTTATAAACAGCTCATAATTTTTTGAGAATGTATTTTCATTTTACCTGTGCTGTATTTTCAGGGAGAATTTCCTAGGAGAGAAATGATTGAAGCAAAGGATAATTGAATATGTAATCTTAAGAGCTGTTAAATGTCTTCCTCATTTCTTCTCTAAGCAAGCTGTGAGCGCCCATCTTAAAGCCCTGAATCAGGGTGCGCTGGCAAGTGCTTAATCCTTGCTATTTGGCTGCATTTAAAATCATAATTAATCATAGCTCTAATTAGCTTTTATTTCCACAATCTTGATGGAGTTGAGGGATCTCTGCTCTTCAGAGTTCCGGGGCAGCCAGTGTAGTAAAGTGAGTTGGAGCTTCAGTGGTCTGCTGAAGAGCACATTTTGACTTTGCCCATCCTTTGATTAGCTTTAGGACTTATCCGTCAGCAGAAGGCAGCCAGTCTTTGCTTTTAGTGGAAATTAGGAATGTGTTGGTCCCCCTTCCTTCCCTTGGAAAGACCCCTAGCTTTCTTTGGTAGCCAGGCCTTTATGTTTTTCTGTTTCTCCTGACCCTTCTAGGTTGGGCAGGTTCACGGTGGACTGATGGGGATCATTCAGAGAGCCATGGTTAAGGCTTGTCCTCATGTCTGGTTTGAGCGCTCAGAAATTAAGGACCGACATCTGGTGACTAAGAGGTAAATGGCAAGGTTCCTTGGCCTTCGTTGGAATAACAGAAAAGCTGATTGACTTGGGTCTTTTGGCTAAGAGGATAGTTGGGGGGGGGTGTTGTATTAAAATGGAAACAAAATCGTGCAAAGCTCTGTAGCTGGATTTGTCTGGAGTTATTAACAGGAGTGATATAAGAATTCTGTCATCTGGTTGAAGACTTATAGTCTCATAGCCAATCCCGGCTATTTACTTGGAGAGAAAAGACTTGAGAGGATGGTTTTCAGCTGACATTCATTCTAAAGCCAAGAAAAAAGCCAAGTTCAGAACTAAGTCTTTTAGTTAGGAGAGATGACAGAGGTTCTGGTTAGCCAACAAAATGATGGATTGGATATTAGGTCTATCTTGTACCTTACTAATAGAAATTGGTATAGTTATGCTCTAATTGCATTTTGAGAGAAAAGTTTTATTTTAACAGGAAGGTTGATATGTGGGAGGAGCTAAGGTGGGAGGAGTAAGGAGGAAGAGGGGGTGTAAGGAGAGGAGGAGGAGCTAGGAGATGGGAGGGGCATGGAGACGAGTGTTCGTGTGTCTCCGCCAGTCAAAGATAGTTGGTATATCTAGGTTGGGTATTGGGTTACACTTCGGATTGTATGGTTATCTTGTTATTGAGCATTACTAAACTTACAAAGCCTTTGATTGACATTTAAAAAAATAAATAAAAATTAAAAAAATGAATTCTGTCATCTATGGGATATATGTCTACATATAGCCAGACTGGAAAGCTCAGCTGTTCTGTGCAGCTATGACTTAAGTAGGGTATGATCACCAAACTTTTAAAGTTTAAAATTACTACCTTGAGGGTTAAATAATTGATTACTTGCTGAACAAATCATTGACTTTTTTGCTGGATGTCCACTGTCACTTGAATCCACTTACCAGAGTGATAATCACTGATGGACCTTCCCGTTGCTGTCACAAAACACAAGAGGACGTCAACCTACCAGCAGGAAAGGTTGATTTTGGCTCGAGGTTTTGTGTAGTCAGTGTGGGTTCCTTGATTCCTGTGCTTAGGCTCACAACTGCACAATAAACTAAAAGCATGTGGCAGAGGAAATCCATTCATTTCATGGGGACAGGGGAAGAGCGAACGTGGGAGGGACCAGGGTCTCAGTTTTTTCCATCAAGGGCAGGCACCCAGTCTTTCTTCAAGTCCTATCTCCTAAAGGCTCTGTCACCCTTCAGTAGTACCCCAGGTGGCAGCTGAACTGTGAACACCTGGCTGCAGAGAGAACATCCAAACTACAGAAGAGCTTTATGGAAAGGAAGGGAGGGAGTCTCTGGGGCTCTGCAGAGATGGAGCCACCAAGAACAAAGCTGGGGAAAAGCTTACCAGGATGGGGTTCTGCTCATTGCTTTAGGCATGCAGGGATGGCCCACGTTCCTCATGAAAGACCTTTCTTTTTCTGTGTAGCCCAGGCTGGCCTTGACTTGTGGTATCCTCCTGTCTCATCTCCTGGGAGCTGGGAGTACCATACCTGGCTTGTGGTGTTCTGTTTCATAGGGAAGTTAACTCTGACTCATTTCAGGACTTCTTATGTAATGGCCATAAAACAGACCAATTAGTATGCTTAGAATCTCTCCCCTCTATTTTTTTTTTATAGTATCTATCAACACATGGCTGTCCAGAGAGTAGATAGAAGATTTGGGCTTGATAGTGCTTACCAATAGTTCCAGTACTTGGAAAGCTGAAACAGGAAGGTCAGAATTGGAGCTCATTCTTGGCTACATAGCAAGTTCAAGGCCAGCCTGAGCTAATGAGACCTCATTACAAACAAAGTAGCTGAAGTCCCCACTTCCTTCAGAACTAGAGAAAATGAGAGCGATCTGATTTCTGGTCTCCACTTGTCCTTTGTCTCTTATTTCTCTTCTTATGGCTTTTTCCCCTACTAGCAGGATGTGAAGAACAAGGATTCTTATTTCTCTGTTTCCCAAGGTAGAATCATTTATTCTAATTTATTTTTTTCTTACAGATTAAAAGAACACATTGCTGATAAGAAAAAGTTACCCATTCTAATCTTCCCAGAAGGTAAGAACAGAGACTACTAGCAAGCTACAGCAGGCAGCAACAAGGAACACTCTGGAACTATCTCCCCTATCTTAGAGGAGGGGATATCTTTTCATTTCTTGCTTTCTGATGAGTCACAGAACCTATTTGACTTTAAAAGTAATTTTTCCATGAGGTATTAAACAGCATCGGCTATGACTTTAGCTGTGAAATGTATTGTGGTTACTAACTGCTATGCTGAAGCTGTTGCTGAGTTTTTAATGGCAAAGTGAGAGTTTGCAGTTAAAATTGTTCAAAAATTTTTTTATTGTTCTTTAAGCAAAGGTTGACTTACCAAGTGGCATTAAAATATGTACAACTTTTATGATGATTTAAATTATAGAAAAGTAATTCCTGGGCCAGTAGGTAGGGGAGCTTGCCGGAATTCAAGTTCCGGGACCCAAAAGGTGGTGAAGATGATGGCTCTCTTACGTTGTCCTCTGACCTCCAAATACACGTACGCATACAGAAAATGTAGCAATGTTTAAAGCAATTCCCTTTAAAATTTGTTTTTAAAAAGTGACTCATTTCCTTACCACTCTGCCAGGCACCTGCATCAACAATACCTCAGTCATGATGTTTAAAAAGGGAAGCTTTGAAATTGGAGGAACCATCTATCCAGTGGCAATAAAGGTAAAACTAAAGGGGTTTTTTGTTTTTTAAGAGGTGGAAGCATTTGAGTGTTAATTTTATTTGATATTGTTACAAATTTAAAACTTGCAGGATTGAAGAACACTTGTGTATTTTACTTTTTGGCTCTTTTTATGGTACATTTTGTGCTCCATCTTTCTAGATAGATAATTGACAACTGATAGATGCCAGATGCGTGCATAGATAGGTGATAACTGATATTTAGACACATAGAATGTAGGTAGTGGCTTACATACAGAGATGGGTAGACAGATGCACAGATATGGAAAGACAGACAGCTGATAGGTAGATGGACGGACAGACAGCATGGCTATGTGGAGCAGGTTGTATTAGTACTGAGGAAACAGTGGTGGGCTGATCTGACTGATCCCTGCTTTCACTGACATTCTAGTTAAGTGCGGAGTCACATATTTTGGAGACATGTAAAGAGCTCTCCGTGTAGCACTCTGGGCTCTATTTAGCAAAACCACTGGCGCTAATAAAAGGCATTATTAGGATTGGCTTAGTTCTTGTGAAAAATTCTATCAAGTGAAGTGAATTCTCTTGCGGTCTGAGAGGCCCATTTGTCTCACCTCCTGAAAAGCACTGATTTGGAAGAGAGACTAACATGGAAGTCACAGCTGGAATGTCTTGTCTTTTCTTTTTTTCTCAGTATAACCCCCAGTTCGGCGATGCCTTCTGGAACAGTAGTAAATACAACTTGGTGAGCTACTTGCTTCGAATCATGACCAGCTGGGCCATTGTCTGCGATGTGTGGTACATGCCTCCCATGACCAGAGAGGTATGACTTATTCAATCAGACGAAAGCAAGAAAGCCTTTGCCTAAAACCTTGGGTATCTCCATTCCTCCCATCATGCCTTTCTTCTTTCTTAGGAAATAAACTGTTTCTTAGTATTATATTTAGTATTATAAAACAAATAGAAATGATTATGAGACACTTTTAAGCTGTTTGAAAGCTTCATTGTAACTTTCTCATTTAACCAGGAAGGAGAAGATGCGGTTCAGTTTGCAAACAGGGTTAAATCCGCTATCGCTGTACAAGGAGGACTGACCGAACTTCCCTGGTAAGAGACCTCTCAGAAGAAGCACTTGTGTTCTTTTGTAATAATACATACTTAACGCAATCATATGGGTTAGCTATAGACTTAGCAAAAAGAATGTAACAAAGACTAAAATAAGGTAGAAGCTTTTCTTTCCCACTTAAGTATAGGAGTCCAGACCGGCATAAACTTAGTCTTTATTCCTATACCAAACTCAATATGTGTTCCTACTGTATGGCCCAAGATGGTGGCTCCGTCTCCACCCAGTATGCACAGCAAATGACTAGCTGCGGGGGATTGGAAAAAGGACACACCCATCTCCACATGCGCATACACTGGAAATTGTACAAGCTACTGAAACTTCTGTTTGCTGCTGCAAGTCATGGGGTAGCGGTGAGCTGCAAAGGAAACTGGGTATTGTAGTGTAGCATTTGTTCTGGATGACTGTGTTGTTAGGTAAAATGAAGAAGAAAGGAGAGGGAGCGTGGGCTGGGGGCGGGGCTTAGGGTTGGGGGCGGAGCCGGATTGGTTCACTCTCACTGTTTTAGAAACTAAGAACTTGAAGAGAGGAAGGAAGCGAGATCGATGAGTAACTATAGCTTCCACGTCTTAAAACTTTTAGTCTAAGGAAGATTAATGTAGATGTCGTGCATTAGTCAGCGTGGGCTATCATAGCACAATACCATAGACCAGCGTCCTCACAGACTTTGTTTCCTCCGAGTTTGAAGGCTTTGGGGTTAGAACGCTGTGCAGCCAGTGCTCACTGAGAGTTCTCCTTGTGTTTCTGAAGCCTGCTTTCTTCAGTGGCTCACATGACCTTTGTTCAAGCGTGGAGAGAGCAAGCTCCCAGTGTCTCTGGCTATAAGGGTGCTAACCTCACCACAAGGGCCCCATCCCTTTGACCTCTTCAACCTTAAAGTCCTCATTGTCAAATATTGTCCCACTGGGAGCTTGACTTCACCTTATAAATTAGTGAGGACAGAAATATTGGGAGCAAAACAGTGCAGTGGGTTCTCTATACCGCCTTGACGGAGAAGGTCAGTTCTTACATGGATATCAGCGAGCTGTTACCAAATAGTCCATGTTTCAATCCTGCATGTTCAATAAAATCTCTGCGAGCTTTTTGGATGTTTCAAAATACTTTCTATGGTGAGTTCAGTTGAGGTCATTGCAATGTGTTCTCTGATTTGGTTTCTGTGTCATTAGCAACCAAGAACATCCTCTGCTTGGGGGCTCAGCATTATTTGGGGACTACATCTTCAAAGATGAGCTGGCTAGAATTTTATATTCTTTTATCCAACAGTAGGGCTTATCACTAAAATATATTTTTTCCATTCACATATCTTAAAGCCAGTTAATTTATACCACCCCAGCCTCTTTCTGGCAAACAATGTGCTTTCTTTTTTTTTGTCAAGTCATTAACTTTTAGAGCAAAAAGGCCACTTTTAGAACTTATTATGCTAATTAGCTAAACTTTGGAAATTGATGGGAGATAAAAGTAGCTGGATGCCAGATGACTCCTGAGAGCTGACAGCAGTCGAGCAGCGGATTTGCTCTAAGCTTCAGGCTAAGATGAACATCTTACATGGTGCAATCTATTCTGCAAGTGTTAAACTGTAACACTAACATCACAACACTCTAACACTGTAACATTACAACACAACACTCAGGGCTTCCCTGAAGCTAACTGTGTCTTAGTGATTCTTCCCGGCCAAGTGTGGTAGAAGCTGCCTTCCTCTTTCCTCTTCTTAAAACCTCCTTTCCCCCCCCCAATGCTTCCTCTTACCTGATGTGCTAGCTATGTTGTTGCTCTGAAGCTGTTATGAAAAGCTCATGGCTGGCTCTGTGGCTGGCTCAGATGCACAGACAAAAGTACACATTTAGAGAGACTGTGTGGGGAGTCAGCCTCAGGTTAGACTCACCATCAGATTCACTTAGCATCTCTGTCAACAATGATTTTCATCTCTAATTCTAGTATTGAGAGACAGAGGCAGGAGAATTCCTATGAGTTCCAGGCCTACCTGGGGTACATAGTGAATTTTAGGTTAGCCTGGGCTATAGAGTAAGAACTTGTCTCACAAAAACAAAACAAACCTTTTTAATTTTTGTCTCTTTTTACTGGATCATATGCCATTTTATAAATAAGATTACTTTGAATTACCTGGCCTTTTTTTCCAAAGGAAGGAGCCGTTTTGCCCTTCTGGGTGTATTTTTCATTCAGCTGCTGAGCATGAGTGAACTCATCTAGGCTGATTTCTTTGCAGTGAATAAGAACTGCTGAGACATTTGGGGGGGGGAGGTATTATTATTGCTATGTTTGTTTTTTTTTTGAGACAGTGTTTTTCCATGTAGCCCTGACTGTCCTAGAACTCCATATGTAGACCAGGCTGGCCTCAAATTCAAATCTACCTGCTTCTGCATCCTGAGAGTTGGGACTAAAGATGTGCACCATCACACCTGGCTTTTTGCTGTATGATCTTATTAAGTTGGTTATTAGGTAGCTACAGCTTTGGAAAACAACTAAGATACAGTATTCCTGAGATGGTGCATTTGATAGATCGTGGAAGCCGTGGGGTGAGAGACGATAGCTGGGCTGTCCCCTGGGACCAAGACCCGTCCAAACGTAACTCTGGGAGCCTCAAGAACAGGCGCTGTTAACAGAAGCAGTTTGGTTTGGGCCTTTATTTCTCATTGTTCAAAATTAATGTAAATGTTAAGAATAGTTAGAGGCAGCTCGTTTGAAGAAAAAAGGCTTGTGCACAATTCTGAGGATCTGGCCACAGCCAAAAATTTTATTTCATGGAAACTTCTGTAACTGCTCCCTGTAAACATCTGTGGACTGTGGTCCATTTTCAAGTTGCAGGATGTGCTTTAGGCTTGACTCAATGAGCCTGAACATTGCACTGGCTCCAGGTCGAGTTCTGTCACTGTGGCACTCAGTTCACTGTGTAACCCATGGTCATTCGGCACTGTCAGAACTTGCCTAACTGTGCTAAAGTTCAACAGTCACAATAGGAAGTAAGCAAGTTCTCAGCACACAGACACACAGACACACACACATACACACACACACACACACACACACACACACACACGAGTTAAAATCTAGCACAGTGGTTCTCAACCTTCCTGATGCTGCTGTGACCCTTTACCTTTTCCTCAGGTTGTGGTGACCCACAACTATAAGATTATCTTCATTGCTATTTGATGACTGTAGTTTTGCTACTGAGTCATAATGTAAATATGGAGACAGTTGTCAAAGGGGTCAAGACCCACAGGTTGAGAACCTGCGATCTAATTGTGGGGTAAGCAGCCCCTGGTGGTAGCCCAGCCTCCTCCCAAGTTCTTCTGACTTGCAGTTCCTTTTGTCCAAAGAAGGAAAGGCGAGGGGAGGGAGGTGGGGTAGTGTGCTCTGGTGACCCAGACAGCTGTGCAGTTCACAGCCCTGGAGAGAGCCCAAAGACTCAGCGTTCCAGTGGAGGAAGGAAAGCCGCTTCCACCGCACTAGTTTCTGGTACAGCTCCAAGAGGAGGAAAGCTGGTGGGTTATCCTGCACTATCTTCTGGTCAAAGGCGGCTATGATTTTGTTGTTCATTTTATTTTAAATCTCTTTTGGAGTATGAAAGCATAAATATATTTTGAATAAAAATAAATTATTAAACATAGGGTTAGAGTTAAATAACGACTGAATCGATGATTTTTAACAAGTTATCTGTGTTTATAGCCCATGCATGGGTATACACTTTCATCATTTCTTGTGCGGGTATTCACAATTTTCACGGGGTTTTTCAGCAAGCCAGCTATAAGTCGATGAAAAAAAAATCAACATTTGTTTTTCCTGAGGGGAAAAATATATGGAAGCATGTTGCCTTTAATAATCTTGTTTCTGTTTAGATATTGAATACAGCAGCTCTAAGTTCTGAAACAAAACAGAACAGGAGCTAGGGAGATAGCTCAGCTCTGGAGCACTTGCTTATTAGCAAAAGGACCCGGGCATCCCAGGTCTGAAAAGCCTGAAAAATCCTGCCTTTTCAGGTGAGGTGTATGCATGCAGATGTATTGCTCGCTTTCTTACCCGGAAGCATCAGAGAGAGTTCGTGTTCTTTGCACTTGGTCAGTTGTAGAGCAGAGACCAGAACCTGCGCTTTGTGCTTATAGTAAGCGTCCTGGTACCATGTGGCCCTGTTCTTCACTGGCAAAAAGTATCTTTCCTATGTGTGCCTTTCTGCCCACAGGGATGGGGGGCTGAAGAGAGCAAAGGTGAAGGACACCTTTAAGGAGGAACAACAGAAAAATTACAGCAAGATGATCGTGGGCAACGGATCTCCCGACCTGGCACTGGACTGAAGCACTGTGGATACACATGGCTTCCCAGAACTGGCCTTCAGAAGTGAAAGTTCATAATATTGTTTTGTTGTGTTGGTTTTTTTTGTCTGTTTGTTTATTGTTAATTCTTTTCTACTAGATGATTGTCTCTGTCTTCATGCCAGAGGCTGAACCTACAGGTGTCCTTTTTGATGTTTTTGTTCTTGTGTTGGCTCAATGAATTTTAAGGCTGATTTTTGAGTGGAAACAGATTTTTATAAAATGACGGTGTTGTTGATTGAATGAAATCTTTGTATGGAGAAAAAGTGCTTCTAGAATATGTTTGGAACATGTTAATAGGATAATTCTCAATAATGACTCCAAACCCTGTAATTTGATTTTCCTTTCTTTACTCTTTTTTATTTTTATTATTTTTTAAAGACAGGGTCTTATTTATATAGCCCAGGCTGGCCTCAAACTCAACTTATGTAGCCAAGACTGGCTACGAACTGACTATCCTGGCTCCACCCACTTCCCACATGCTAGGATTACAGGCATGTGCACCCACACCTCGGTGTTAACTTCAGTACCATAGTGAGGTCATCAATCATACCATAATGCATTCCCATTACGGTTACATTCTGCTACCAGGTTGAAAGAAAAATGGGGAATTATTTTTAGGGAAATGACAAATTTGTGGTTACCTGATCTGAAAGGAATGGGATGGAGATTATTTTTCCTCAGGTGTTTGAAGACCGGCTGATGATTAGCCAGATTCTTTTAAGAACCGTGTAGATAGATGCAGTGCTGATTGTTTAGATTCATTTAAGAACCGCAAGGAGCAGTGCTGATTGGTCAGATGTTTGTTCCCACAGCACATTTCATCCAGCCACAGTGGAAAAAGCACTGTTAGCTTTTCTTGTTTGTATGCCAAAGATTCTCTTTTGTCTCATGATTGTTATTTGTTTTATTTGTTTTTGTAATAAAATGATTTTCCCCCCCAAGGGAAAGAGCCTATTAAAAAAAGGATGCACGAGTGAGCCATGCCCTACCCCCAACCTCACTGTAGCGTTTAGCCCCAAACGCCCCAGCCTTGTCAGCAGAAAACTAAGTGGTATAACTACCTTTTGGAAACTGAGCCTTAACATTTTTTAAAGGGGAAACAAGCATTCTCCAAGTCCAGTAGCATGAGCTATATTTGATAGCGATCCATTACTGCTCTTGAGGCTGTTAGCTCGAGAGCAACTCTGTATAGAAAGTGAACTGTCTTACTGACTGAATAAATTTTATATTTTTAAACGAGTGTTGCATTATTCTTCCTCTACCTCTCCCCCTTCTTCCTGTAGCCAACAAGTGCTTTTGTTTCAGTGGAGGATGCTTTATGTTGACTGGACACAAGTTCAGGTCATCAGAGAGGAGGGAGCCTCACTTGAGAAAATGCCTCCATAAGGTGGGACTGTAGGCAAACTTGTGGGGCATTTTCTTAATTGATAATTGATTAAAGAAAGCGGGCCCAGTCTATCATGGATGGTGCCACCCCTGGCTCTATAAGCAGGCTGAGCAAGCTGTGGGGCTCAAGCCAGTAAGCAGCACCCTCCATGGCCTCTGCATCCAGCCCTGCCTCCAGGTTTCTGTCCTCGCTGCTTTTGATGATGAGCTATTCTATGGAACTGTGAGTGAAACAGATCCTTTCCCCACATTTTGCTTTTGGTCATGGTGCTTCATACCAGCAGTAGATGTGATGACTAAGACATTAATTACACTGCCACTACTGACTAAGATGTAGTAGAACGTCCATTAGCAGCCTGTTTCTCACCGTGGTCTATGGTCTCGCTATTTGGAGTCTGTCCCTTGAACTCCATTGTATAGGCAATGCACCATTGGGGTGCTTTGCAGGTGAACTCAGGCAGTTATTTGTAATTGACTAGATAGTGAGGCCTGGCACACACTGTCAGCCTCAAGATGGGTCAGATCCCAAAGGAAACTGCACATGGGTTTCCCTCATGACCAGCACTTTCTGTCCCTCCGCCTCTGACGTCCCTTCAGTTTCAGCTCTTCCTAAAGCTGGATCAGGGATCCTGACAGATCCCAGTCCAACTGTGCTAAAGTGACTCTTTGTTTGATCTGTTTGTTTGTTCTATTTTTTTCCTCTCAGAAAGAGACTTTCCTGTTTGTTTTTACTTTTTTTGTATTCAGTCAGGCTTGAATTACCAAATCCATTCCATGTTTCAGTTCTCAGAAGAGTTCCTGTGCTTGGACCCAGATAAAATGTGTATTTCATAGACTGTATGGGAACAGTGATGCTGGCATTCATGCCAGCCAGCGGGGTGCTGCCTCTGTCAGAACTCTTTCTGCAGGCTTTGATATGCATTAGTTTCTGAGTTCTTGCGGGATGACATTGCTGCTGAGAGTGTGTTTTTGGAAAGCTGATGCTGCTCTGATTTGGACCACGCACCTTATGTCTCTCCTGTTGTTATGCAGGTGTTAGTTTGAGGCAGAGCCTATCGAAGGCCTAGCTGGCCTGGAAGTCACTGTACAGACCAAGCTGGCTTGCTTCTGCCTCAGTGTTGGGGTTAAAGGTGTACACTACCATGTCTGGTCCTAATATTATTTTGATGATTTTTTTTTGAGACAGGGTCTCATGTAGTCCAGGGTGACCTCAAACTTGTTATGTAGCCAAGGCTAGCATTGAACTTATCCTACTTCTGCCTCCCAGTCTCCTTGTGCTGGAATTCCAGGCTTATACCACCATACCTATTTATTGTTATTAGTTACTGTTACTACTGCTACTATTATCATATGCAGTGCTGGGAATCAGTCCAGGGCACCATGTGTGCTATGCATTCATGCACTCTATTGACTGAGCCACATCCCCAGCTCTAATAATGAGTTATAGACACTCTATAAATGCTGTGTTCTCTGGTGTAACCCAGGTGGATGAAGTCTGATGATTGAGTCAGGCACTGATCTGTGAGCATAGCAGGATAGCATTAGGAATCAATTCACTGACTCTCCCAGTCTTATGTGCTTCTATCCTGGGTCTCTGGCTGCCCAACCTTTGGGTCCAGGTCACCCAGGCAATGTCAGGTGTGGGCTCCCTCTCAAGGTGCTGGCTTCAAGTTGGACCAATCATTGGTTGGCCACTCCCACAAGCTCTGAGCTGCTATCATCCCAGCACATCTTGCAGGCAGGACAAATTGTTGGTTGAAGGTTTATGTGGTTGGGCTGATGTCTCAATCCCAAAATTGGAAATCTTGCCTGATTACAGAAGATGGCCGGTTTGGGTTCTGTATTCCTCCATTACTAGCAGTCTTCCCTAGGTTACCCTCATAGGCTCTAACATCTCCCCCAAGTACCTTCTAGTTCTTGTCATCTCTCCCAGAACCATCTCCTATATGACCCCTCCTGTTCCCATCCCCCACCCACCCAAATTCTATTTTCTCTTCCCAGGAGGGTCCAAGTGTCCTCCTTGAGTGTGTTTGAAATTTTCATATCTGATATTTTTGGATTTTTATTTTCTTTTCATAGCCTGTTAGGTAGGGATTAGCAAAATGCAGTCCCCAGGGTAAGTCTTACCTGAAGTGGAGATCTCTGGTTTCTTTGGAAACTCAGTTGTATCATTGTGATGTTTTTCTGGAAACTGTCTTACGAGAAGATTGGGGAAACAGACATGAGAGGATGTTTTGCTGAGAAAAGACTTATATTTATGGAAGCTGTCTTGTGAGAGGGCATATGATTTGCTGGAGCAGACGCTTGAGAGGGGATATGATATTTAGAAAGAATATAAATGTTTAGAGAAGACAGTAAGAGGACACTTTTGCATTGGTTCACCTTGTGACGCTTTACTGGTCTTCACTGACACCTTGCAAGGCTTTGCTGGTCTTGGTTGACCTTCTCTTGCTGTGCCTTTGTAAGAGAAAAACACAACAGAAAACTTCTCATGGTAGTTTGGCTATTTCTTGCTGATTCTGAGGACTCATGCCATTTGGCAGAGCCCCATGATTTCTTCTGGATCAAGAGCTGCTGCTACTGACTCATGTTTGGTGTTTTAGACTGGACTGCTGATATCCTTACAGACTGGAATCTCCCCCAAAGAACTACTTCTAAATAGGTCTATACCCCCTGTTTCCTATAAACTTTGTCTTTCCCCAGCCTCTGCTAGGCGGGTTAGAAGGGAGATTGAAGCGTTTAAGAACTCTTATTAAAATGGGTTTTGAAAAATCTAAGCCTGCACTTAGCCTCTAGTTTTGTAAATACAAATTTATTCACCTTTTTTTTTTTTTACTTTTATTTTGCAGCCACAAAGTTGCCCATTTGCCACAGTGACCATGAGGCCCCCAAAGCTCCAGTAGGTCCAGTCAGGTTCTTTATTCCTTGAACTGCCTATGAGCATAGTGTGCAGCCCTTCATTTTTCATAGGGTCTAGGAAACACGTGTGTTCTATCGGTCTGGGCCCACTTGAATTCCATTATTAGCCTGACTTTTATCTGTCCATTTAAGTATCAAGGCTTCAACAATGGCCATCATGTGGGTTTCAATTCTCTGCCTCATATGTATATATACACACACACACACACACACACATATATATATATGATTTATTTTATTTATATGAGTACATTGTTGCTGTCTTCAGACACACCAGAATTGGGCATCAGATCTCATTACAGGTGGTTGTGAGCCACCATGTGGTTGCTGGGAATTGAACTCAAGACCTCTGGAAGAGTAGTCAGTGCTCTTAACCACTGAGCCATCTCTCCAGTCCCTTTGCTTCATATTTTTGAAAGGAATTCATGTTATGCTCTAAGCCTATCATTGACTTTAATTGCTGAGTAGTTTTAAATCCTCAGGGGACTATTATTTTTTGCTGTCACTAAGCACTGAAGTTTGACTCAGGCCACTTGCCTTGTTCACATCCGTGAATGGGGGATGGGTAGTTTCCACCTCCTGCTTAGCCACATAGCTTTTTGGAGATCCCATCTTGAAGGGGCTTGTCCCTAGTTGATCCTGGGCTCTGACTTCTGAGCAGGAACTGGCTTCACTCGGTCCTTAACTTGAGCAGTCCAGATTAATTTGCTAGTCTTTTTGTTTCTTATTTTGTGCTTTTGTGTTTGTTTTCAAACAAGATTCTTACAGTAGATGGCCTGGAACTCGCTATGTAGATCAAGCTGGCCTCACTGAGTTCCTCCTGCCTCTGTCTCCTGAGTGCTGGGTTTCAAGGCAGGTGCTATCATACCTGGCCCCACTTGCTAGTCTATGAAGGCATTTACATAATTTTTTATCACCTAGGAGGAGGGGTTAGTTCTTTAGAGAAACAAAAATTCTAGGAAGAGATAGCTGTATGTTTTTAAGAAGAAATGTCCCCTGTCTTTTAACCTGAGTTTGGTCATTAAGATCAAACATGCTCTTTTAGGACCAGTGCTGGTTTTACTGTGTTTGCTTTTTGCAAATTATTATAGTTTGAAGAAAGAAGGTCTCCTCTAGTCTGTAGTGCAAGCTAGCCTCATACTTGAGTAGCTGAGTTTGCCTTGCTCTTCCTGTTTCCACCTCCCAAGGGCTGGATCTACAACTGTGCGTCACCACACCTGGCTTTATGCCCTGTTGGGAATCAAACCCAGAGCCTCCTGCTTGGGAGGCAAGCACTGTGCCAGCTGGGCTACATCTCTACTGTGTTTGCAAATTAAACTTTTGCTGAAGAACTTTTACATGGTAAGTGAGGTACAGTGCCTTAGGGTGTTACTGCTGTGAACAGACACCACAACCAAAACAGCTCTTACAAGGACAACATTTAATTGGGGCTGGCTTGCAGGTTCAGAGGTTCAGTCCATTATCATCAAGGTGGGAGCATGGCAGTGTCCAGGCAGGCATGGTGCAAGAGGAGCTGAGCGTTCTACATCTTCATCTGAAAGCCAGTAGGAGAAGACTAACTTCCAGGCAGCTAGGATGAGGGTCTTAAAGTCCACACCCATGTGACACACCTACTCCAACAAGGCCACACCTCTAAATAGAGCCACTCCCTGGGCCAAGTATATTCAAACCACCACATATAGGAAGATGTGAATCAACACAGGGAATTCTGGATATTTCCACACAGAGGACACAGAGACACTGTGGCTAGAAGCTGTTGAGAGGATCAGTGGTTTTCTTTTTATGGTGTTAATCAAATGGTCAAATCAATCATGTGACCATGAGCAGGGAGCATGCTAGTCTGTGAGGGTACTCCTGTGTTCTAAGTCTCTTGTGGTTCTAAGTCTGGCTGTGGTGGGAGTCTGATTATCGTGGGAGCCATTTTTGATGCA